AATTAAGACAAAAAGAGAATAATAGATGTAGTGAATGTGGTGAACAAAAAAGATATTTGTAGTAAATGTGAGACGAAAAATTAATTAATCAAGTAAATGCTTTGGACATTCAGTTGGTCCTAAAAAGTGCTTTTATGCTAACTGTAAACTTGAATTTGATTTAAAACAACTTAGCACTATCAGTGATAAAAAGAAGTATTGTTCAGATTATTTAGAAAGATGAAAATACTCTATTTTGTTGTTTCTGCATGATATCAAAGGAAAATATATCAAAATGGTGCAGGAGCAGGTGCACTCCATAAGAGATTTTGCTTTTTGCTTCGATTGTAAAATGCAAGGGGTACATAAACTCTTTTAAAAAACTTTTTTTTAGTTTACATTTTTCAAATAACATATTGTTGAATTTCGAAGTTTTTTAAAGAAATTATGGTAGATATTTCAATAATTTATTTTATTATTAATTAATATTATTTATAAAACATTAAGGGCAAAGCATCTTGTTTGAATTATCATCAATTAATTTGCCTGGATTTACTTATTTTACATTATTCTTTGAAATAGATATTTGAACAAATATCATATTTTGTGTAATCATATCAATATTTTTTCTTCTGATAAAAGAGTTTAGTCAAAATATTTTGGATGAATATATCTGATTTATTTAAGAAAAATCTACTTATAAAAATAGCATAAATGAAAATAATTCTTACTCTTTATACAGATGGTAGACCAGATCATCAAGTTACTTATATTTGTCTAGTCAACCTTAAATGCATTATTATTAAAGTTAAATTTGGATTTAATAATTACTACAAAACTCTACCAGCAGGCTACTCTCAAAACATAATATTTTATGATGATTATCCTAAGCAGATAAAAGATATGAATGAGCCATTAAATGATACTAAACAAATATGCGTCAAGTTCTTGTGGCTAGGGACCAGAACAAGTTCATGACAAAAACAAACCTTCCATCATGGGAAGTATGTGATACTTTAGGGATTTTTCTAGCACAAGGATATCGTAAATCATTTTCAAATATTAATAATATTGGTGTATAGATTGTTTATATATCTTAACATTTAATATAAATTAGGATTATTGTCTGTAATGGGTTGGGTATGAACAAGTTATGTAACAAGTAGTATTTTTTAAATTTACTATGAACTTGAATCAATTAATTATGAAGTCAAAAAAATTATATATTATAATCTAAAAGGTTCTATTTACTAATAAGCTATACTCAGAATTTGTTCAAATACACAAGATAGAAAAATTAACAAATGAGAAATTAAGATTATAGTAAGGATTGATATGAAAACGTGTAAAAATTGCTTAAGAAAAATGCATTGTAGAATAGCAAAGATAAATAAGAACTATTATACATTACACGGACAGAATTTCGAGCAGAGAATTTAAGATTTTAGAAGTCCCTAACAATGTTGATAAAAATATTATTGAAAATAGCATTCAACGATTACTACATGGAAGTCCATTCTTTATTACGGATAATAATTATCCTCACCTATCATATGGGTACCATCAAACGCACACTATCACAATTGCAACCATATGATATTGACAACTATATCAAATGGCAAATGAATTTTATAAACAATATCAGATATGAATATAGCCAACCACAACCGATAAAAGTTTTAAATATAGATCCGACAATATTTTATTTTCTATTGATTCAAATCTTCTTCCATCTGAGGTGTAAAATATTAAGAATATCATATTGTTAATGTTTTATTTTTATCTATTGTTCATTATTTTAATATTAGAAGTCAAGCCAATATATAGACCTATGTACAAATATAAACTACAAGATAGAATGATATAGGATCAAAAGATTGGAAGCAACACTGCCTTAGCCGTCTAGTACTTAGTATTGAGTTTTTTGTATTGAAATTTATATAGTAATCTCAAGTATAATCACTAGTAATTTCCAGGAATTATTCAGAATCATTCTTGTAATCATAATGATGGATTATCTATAAAGGAACTTTTACATATAAAAATATTCTATAACACATCCTTTAAATACTCTAATCTATAAAGTTTAGTAAAAGTTAAATAGTTAACTAAAAAGTTTTTATGATATTAATTAATATACATTTAATTTATTTATATGATTTCAATTAGCAGAATCGTCAAAATGTAGTTTAAAGTAAATAAATCTTGGATAATTTGAATTAATAAGTTGTAAAATTTTCTTTTTCTTATTTCTTAATATTGTCTTAAATTATAAATAAGAAATTAAGAATTAATTTTTATAATTATGCTAGGTACAATTTTGACAAAATGTCAATAATTTATTTTTTGAGATTTATCTGTATTAATATATTATCAATTTGTTATATTTAACTTACTTCTATCAGCACCATTATATTCAACAAAAATTATAAATCACATCACTGGTGTTCAACACCACAGTTATATGTATTAATTATTTTTTTTTTATTTATCATATAATTTTTTATTCTTTATTATTATAGTCTAATTAAGATGTTTCTATTAATAAAATATTATAATCCATATTGCAATATTTAATGCTGTATCATATACTTACATATATTTTTCTTAATTTTTCAATTTTTTTTTTTTTATTTTGCAATATTTATGGTAAAAAAAAAAAAAAAAAAAAAAAAAAATTTAGTTTTGGGTTTTCTATGCCACCTTTGTTTGTATTATAAATTAAATAGTAATAGGATTTTATTAAGAATTTTATTTTTGTTGATTGTCTTAGATTAATATTTTATTTTTACATTGAATATTTGTGAATCCGTTATCATACTTTGATCAAAAATTCAATTTTAAAGTTAAATATCATTAAATTACGTAATTTGTTACAATTTAAAATCCATTTTGACAGGAATGGAATCTTTATTCATAAAATATTCTGGATATACTCTTGTATGTATTATTATAAATAAAGGATTAAGGTTCTTGCCAATAAATAACATCATAGTTAATATTAAAGATGCCTAAGTAAAAAAGTATATTTATTGTATAACTAGTCAAAACACAACTCAAACTTCTACAAAAAAAAAGAATATAAGTGTAAGTGTCTTATTAATGAAGAAAAAGCAACAAGAGAAAGCCAAAAATAAAATACCAAAATTAAAATCTCAAATATTTTCTCGTAGCGTCAACCTACAAAGTCAGAATCCAATAGCAACAATACAAAATTAAAAAAGTGATTTTAAATGTTTTAAATAATAAAGACAAAATCGATTCAATAATAAAAACACCCTAAATCAGTCCTAAATCAGCCTAAATATATAAAATTAGATACTTGTTGGCAACAAAATCGCCACGCATCAGCCTAATCCAGTTGCTGCGTCATCTGATCAGATGATTATTTGCTGTTCTTAAAAAGAGATCATATTGAGATGAACCTAAAGAAGTGGAGTATTGTAATTATTAGTCAATTTAATTATAAAGGAAAATTTAATTTATTTAGGTTAATAACAAACAATTATGGCTATTAAAAAAAATAAATTTTTTTTTATACCCTTTTGTATCCGATTGGTATGTTCCTATATATATACAGTATGTTGTGCCCCACGATTTGCGTCATATGTCAACTGTAATTTTTTTAATTTCTACAAATATAAATCTGATTGTACTGAAATTTGAATTATATATTTACAAATATGACGAATAAATTTAACTAGCCAATAAAGTAATAAAGTAAATTATAGTTACAAAAAATAGAAATAAACATTATTTATAATAAATAATTCAAAATATAAAATATTTATTCCAAATTTTCAGGATATATGTAATTTGTTATGATGCACAAGTTCGCTTATAAAAGTAAGTAATAGTTATTTTACGAGGAGTCATGATATTCATGCGACACGTGAAATAACAACTCTTTTCTCTCATGGAGACTAACGTCCAGAAAGGGAAAGGTACAAATAAATTATAAATACACGTGAGCATGAAAAATATCATCAGGAGAAATTACAGGCATGATAAAAAAAAAAACTTAAAAACGCCGGAACCCGACGTTTTTTCATTAAAAAAAAATAAAAATTCGCTTTTTTTTTAATTAAAAACGTCGAACCATGAATATATATATCATCAAAAAAATCACTGGCGACCAATTAGTAAATATGAGATAAAATTGATTTAATCAATAAAAAAAAAAATAGTTTACATAGTTTACTTATATCAAACTATTCAAAATTGACCAATGTCAAATACTGGGCTATGGATCCGTAACTTACCTTGTAACACCCGAAAAATCCCGAAATCTGGGCAGAATTATAAATGATCGGCGCTGCGCTGCATAATTGTTGGGTGTAATTGTTATACAATCGGAGAATTCCGATCATCATTCAAACAATCAAATTTGAATGTAATATTGTTTACTAAATATAATTATATGGGAAAAAAATTTTTTTTTATAGGTATAATTTTTTTTTTTATCGCACAAAAAAAAAAAAAAAAAAAAAAAAAAATTTAAAATCTTCACTTTATATAAAGATTAAAACTTTTTAACGATAACAGATAATGAAACTACCTTATTTATCAGATGATTGTATTTATTATATATTAAAATATCTTCGAGATGATCATTCAACTTTGTTCAATTGTTTATTGGTTAACCGATTCTGGTGTAAAGAAACGGTACCTTTCCTTTACGCAAATCCTTTTGAACATTTAATTGGATCAAAAAATAACACAACTCATAAATGTTCAATAATTTTTACATTAATTTCATGTTTTGATAAAGCAGAAATTTTAAGAATTAAAAATCAATTAAATGAGTATAATGATAATATTAATTATTATATTAATGAAGAAAATGAATCATTATTTGAATATTCAAAATATTTAGAAAATTATAATTGTTTAACTATAAACAATATAATTTTTGAATGGTTTAAGAATTTTTTTAACATACCAAGTAATCATGAAATTGTAGCAAATTTTATTCCAACATTTCATCAATCAAATTTAAGACAAAGTATTAATATAAAACGATTAGATATTTCATTTTACTCATTTTTTTTTAATAAAAATAATAATATAAGAAGTTTTGATCAAAATTTAACAAAATTAAATTCATTAAGTTTACGAGATATTAACGAAAAATGTAATGATTTTACACAAGAATTTTTAGAAAGTGTAGCAAATATTTGTTCAAATTTGAAAAGATTAGAAATTTCATCATTACCGAATAATATTTCTATGAAAATTAAAGAAAATCTTTGCAAAATAATTCAAAATCAAAATAAATTTAATGCACTTAAAATATCAAGATGTGAATCTTTTTTAAATAATATATTTTTATCATTAGAATTTCAAAAACATTCTTTAGTTTATATTGAATTTGTAGGTATTAATTTTGGTAATATTCCTTTTAAGAATTTTATAACTTTATATAATTTAAAATATTTAAGTTTTATTTATTGTGGGGAAATATCAAGCGAACAATGTAATCTTTTAAATTTTGCAACGTTTAAACTTAAAGAATTAACACTTTTAACATGGTCCAATAATATTGCACTTTCAATGATAAAATATTTAGGTAAATCATTACAAAAATTATATTTTGATGGAATTAGTATAACAATAACTATTATTGAATATATATCAACATATTGTTTAAACCTTAATAGTTTAAAACTTAGAATTGGTTCAGGTATTAATTATGTATTTCCTTATTTTAAAAATTTAAGAATTAATAATTTAATTCTTATTATACATAATCAATATTTTAGAAATAATTTGTTAGCAAATTTATTTGAAAATTTAGCTCCTATTAATGTTAAAGAAATTTCTATTTATTTGTTTTATTTTAGTGATACTACACTTAAGGAAATTTTAGAAAATTGTCATCATCGTTTAGAAATGATTAATTTAAATATTAATATTGATTTAGAAAAACTTCAAATTATTTTAAATTATATTGAAAAAAATAATAATAGTTTGAAATTTTTGGGTACGAAAAAGTTAGAAAGAGTGTTAAAAGATGAAGAAACGAAATTATTGGATCAAATTAAAGCAAGAGGTGTAACATTATTAGATTTTTATAGTGTTTATCATGAATGTAGTCCACTTATTTATAATTCATTTTAAATAAATAAATATTTCATTTTTATAAATTGGATGTTTTTATTATTAGTTGTGTAAAAAATTGCTTAAATATCAAATATGGTCAATAATAATCATATTCTCAAATCAAACGTTCTTTCTATTTGTAGTTATTAATATAAAAAATGACTTGTCGGCTATCCGCTTATACAAAATTCGCGCTAAGCAATAAGAGCGGCATATTGTTAATTCGTTTTAACTTTTAAGCGCCATTTCGTTTGTAAATAAATAAATTGCGAGAAATTAACGTAAAAATGCTTTAATTTGTTAAATTATCACATTATCACGAGTATTTTTTTTTCAATGAAATCTAAAAAATAAGTATGAACCTATAACTTAAGACAACATTTTTATGTTTTTATAATTATAAATATCTCAAATATCTAGCCATAGATGTTTGCTTTTAAAGAGAAAAAAAATGGCAGAGAATTAAACAAAGTATTGTTAGACTCGAATACTTAATATTGTTGTGAATTACATGAAAAAGTAGATACCAAAAAAAACAATAGTAAAGAAAACTTGATAATTCTTCAAATTCTATAAAGTAAAATTGTTCAATAAATGTAGTTCACTTAAAATAAGTGTAACTTTTAATTTCTTCACTTTTTTATTTTTTTATTCCAATAATTCCAACTTCAATTAATTTTACAATATGAGAATAGTTTTCAGTTTCATAATTAGCCGTTTTCATGATTACTTAAATACCTATTAAAACAAACGTTATAATATAAATCTTAGTAGTTCTTTAAGTAAAACGTAAATAAAATATTTATATAATTTTTAAAGACCTGAAAGGTTATATAATTAGTAACATACTTATTTATTTTAGTATTTTTATATGTATTAATATGTCTTTATTATTGTCCTTATTATTGGGAATTTTGTTTTAGTTAACGCTAAGGTTAAAAAACTGCGATCAAAGGCCGCAAAATTTGAGTAATAAAAATTCAACTTTTTTAATAAATAGTACGTACCGCTTGTTTAATCGCATTTAATGATATACAAAATTTAAAAAATTTTACATCAACGGATAAACGTTAGTTTTGATGATTTAAACTTGTGAAACTAGATTTTTTAATTTATTTAACAAACTATATTTAGTTTAATTGATTTTAAAGTCAAATGCAAAAATGAAATTTTTTTTTTTTATTTACAAATTTATTCGATTCATTTTCATCTTTACTTTCTGCTAATTACAAATATGTACTATAACTAATGATCCAAATTTTTTTTTTTCAGATCGTACTATATTATAACGATGATGAATTTATTTAATTTTAATTCTAATAAAATTTCATAAATATTATTTGTGGTTCCTATAATTAATTAAAATTTTGCAAACTAGGAAAATTAGAGTTTATGATAATTTTTGTTTACTATCATATTCATCATATTCATCGGTATCGCATGACAATTCCGCTACGGATCGACAAAAGAGAAAAGTCATATGATAACGAAATTTATAAATGATAACTCATTTAAGTAAAAAAATTTTTTTACATGATAATAATTAATAACTAAATCATCCAATTTAATTTTACGATTTTATATTCAAAGAAAAGTCTAGCCATTCTTTATTTTCAATGCCTACTAGGATTATTTCATTTAAGTAAAAGTAGTTTATTAATTACAGGGCTGGATTAGAAATTATTAACTTTATTAACGTCACTATATGAATTTTTGCAAGCAATTTTAGTTAATTTATTATTATCAAAGCATAATATTGTCTAAAATGATTAAATAATGACTTGACCCATTTGCGAAAATTTTTTATCATTTATGCCGATCAATTGTAACCCAGGTTTATACTATACTATTTATAGAAATTTTAAATAAATGTTACACATGTTGCACGAGAGTTTATTTGCGAATAAATTTACCCGAACTCCGTTAAATTTTTTTTTTTTTTTTTTTTTTTTACGCTTCATTGATTAAAGTAACGTTATTGAATTTAATAAATAAATTGCAATCTATATATATACAACCCAAATCGTATGGAAATATCAAAAATGAATTCTAAAGAAAATCTTAAAAGTTTATGGAATGGCTATAGTGGTTATCAGGTAAAAACAGTTCACTTTATCATTATTATTAATAACATTATTTTTTAAATAGTAATAGCTTTTTTTTAATTATTTATTATAAAAGGTATATGCCATTACAAATTCTACCATAGATTCCACTACTGAATTAATAGAAGAGGCAGGTCACAAAATAATTTATATGAATGACTTAGAAAAAAGAAAACAAGTATATGGAATATGTGGGGAATGTAATGAACCTGGCACAGGACTTGTATGGTGTCAACCTTGTAATGCTAAAAGATTTAAGGATAACTTTAAAAATTGGACTAGTGGAAATAAAGATATTGATGAATTTATACAACAATCACAACTTAATGCCGTGCACTATAGTAAAAAACTTGAATGGATACCTTTTGAAAATTTTAAAGATATTACTTATATTACCAGAGGTGGATTTGGTAAAATTTATTCAGCTAAATGGCCTGAAGGATATATTGATTCTTGGGATATTGTAAATCAAAAATGGCATAGGTATAGTATTAATATAAAAGTTGCATTAAAAAGTTTGGATAATTCTTCTTGTTTAAGTACAGAATTTTTAAATGAGGTAATTAAAATAAGAAATATAAGTTATTTATTTTAATTTTTATTTATATATTATTTATATATTTATTAAAAATTTTTCACTTTTCATTATTTTATTAGATTAAATCTCATCTTCAGTTTTATCATTATTATGTTATTCAATGTTATGGAATAACTCAAGATCCAAATACCAAAGATTATATGATGGTTTTAGAATATTGTGAATATGGAAATTTGAGAAATTATTTAAATAAATCTAAAAATTATATAAATTATTTTTCAAAAATTAGAAATTTAATGAAAATTGCAAGAGGACTTTTAGACATTCATAATGCTGGAAAAATTCATAAAGATTTTCATTCAGGCAATATATTATATAATTTTCATGGTCATCCATATATAAGTGATTTAGGAATGTGCCAACCAGCAAATAATGAAAAGCAATTAGTTAAACAAGAAGGAATTTATGGAGTATTACCTTATATGGCACCAGAAGTTTTACGTGGATTTCAATATACAAAAGCATCTGATATTTATTCATTTGGAATAATGATGAATGAATATATATCTGAAGAAACTCCTTATAATAATATTCCTCATAATCATGCTTTAGCTATTAAAATATGTAAAGGACTTAGACCAAATATTTTTAAATATACACCAAAATTACTTTCAGATTTGATTACTAAATGTTGGGATGCTAAAGCAGAAAATAGACCAACTGCTAAAGAATTGTATCAAACATTAAATAAATTGTATAAATGTGAGAATGATAGTGATACTGAATCTCAAGTAAATGAATATAATGATAAAATTAAATTAAACAGAACAAGTGAAAAAAGAACTAAAAACATTCAAACACATCCACAAGCAATCTATACTAGTAGACTTTTAAATTTCAAAAATCTTCCAGAACCAGTAAATTCAGGTAATTTAATTACTTTTTAATAAAACTTATATTTAATATGTTACTAATTATTACATATTTTCTATAAACAGGTGCTATTCAATCAACATTATGTAAGTAAATTATATTTATGAGTAATTTATATAATTAATAAGATAATATTTTATTAATATTAATTTAATTGATTTATTATAGTTTCAGAAGGTTTTGATTGCCAATTAGATGAATCAGGTAAGATATTTATTCTTTAATGTTTTACTTTATTTGTTACTTTATATATATTTATTTATTTGTTTATTTATTTTATAGATCTTAATGAAATGAATCAAGATGATGAAAATAATATTGAATGAAGTTTACTTTTCAAATCAGAGAAATTAGTTTAATTAAATAACATTATTAAATTATCTTTTTATGTATTTTATATATGGTATATTGGTTAAAATAAAATTTAAATTGTTATATTTAATAAAAAATCATGATTATAAATTAGCCAGAATTAAAATTAGATAATATCATCTGGTAACAATTTATTCTATGTATTTCCAAACATTTTAAATGTTCTTCATGAGTAAGATAAAATCTGGAGCTCAATGTCTTAAATTGTCTTAAAGAGCAAGAAACAGTTAAATATGAAAACAGCATATAATTGAAGTAGTAGAAAGTGAAATAACTAGTGAAACTCAATTTGAATCAAACCTTTAAATGATAGTTATCGCGACATTTAGATAAGATTATGATGATAATTTAATAAAAGTATATAAATAAAAAGTATAATTTAAACGTCTGTTGTACAGAAATTGTTTTTCTCTGTAAAGTCTGTAAAGTAAAAATAGTTTAAACGTCTATACTGACGTTTTGATGTTAAAAATTAATTTCATATTAAAAGAATTTGATATTTAGCCATATCAGTTCGTCCGAATTAGCGTGATCCTAATATACCGACCAATAATATATCAGTAGTATCTTATAAAAGTATTAAACAAATTCAATGTCAAAATGTCCCGACATAATGATTAATTTTTTTTTTGAGCAAAAAAATTTTGTTTGATTCTTTAACTTAAAAAAAATCGGAAATTTTGGAATAAAAATTACCTAATTTGAGAATTTCAAATTAACTACTATTAATTGCACATGTAAAAAAAAAATTTTTAATGAAAAAACAAACATAATTTAAAATATTTTACATTCAGTTAATGTTAATTGATCAAAATTAGAAATGATGTTGATAAGTTTGCGTGGTTTCTTCAATGATCAAAAGTATTAAAAGAAAACTATTAAGTGTAAAAAACAATGAACTTTTCTATACTATTTCAATAGACATAATATGATGACTAATTGGGCTATGCATCATAATTTCTTTTTGCTTATAATCCATCACAATTTTATAAGGCTAGGAAACGGAAACCGTTTAAGTCCTCTGGACTTTTTTGGTATTTGTGTAATGGCATGGGTACAACTAAATTAGACATTAATATATTTCAAGGGCTCGTATTAAAAAAGGAAATAAAAGTGATGTTTTTATTGGGACAAAATAAAACAGGGGATTAAACTAATTTACTAACACAGTACGGTAAATATTCTTTTGGACTGAACGGAATAAATTTTTTTTTTCTTTTTAAAGATTATCGAAGATTATCGTTATATATTATCAATCAATTTAAGTAGATACACTATAATTATAATAATTTTTTTATAAGTAATGTCTAACATCAGAAAACTTTTGCATAAATTGACTATTGAACTGAAAAATATGGCGCAGCATATAGGAATTGTGAAAATTTGATTATTGCAATAAAGTTAATAAAGTTATAAGATAACTAAAGCAAAATAAAATGATATTAACTATTAATATTATATGATAATTACGAGAATTGAACTTTTATTTCCTTATTATAAGAAATACTACAAATTCTTTATAGATTTAATTTCAAAAAAATACTCTTAATAATAGGAATATTTATTTACTAATATTATTTTTTTCAAATGTTACTTTAAAGAATTAATAATATACGTTTATTATTTCATTTACTATTTTATGTAAATGAAATCTTTTTTTATACTTTTCAAGTTGTGGATTTTATATTAAATACTAAATAATGGAAAATATTATTCTTTAATTTTTTATATTAAGTTTATAGAATTACGCTTATAAATCATTCTATAATTGTAAATTAATTTACTATAATAAATTCTTCAAATTTTGACGTAGCGATGTATATAAATAATTGATACGTTGCATTTATTAGTATGCACAGAAATATGTCAATTTCAAAACAAAAATTTGAAAGAATGCAATCAGTTTTGATTATTAATTTTATTTTCTAGATTGGAATCAATTAAATTAATCAAATTAAGAATAAATTAATAACTATCTTAAAGTAAATTAGCTATTTCACAGATACAATTTTACAATTTTACCTTAAATTTTATAACATTCTTCAGGTTATATAGTCAAAAAAAATCTTGACCAATATTTTTACCGGTAGTCATATATACTGTAGTATATGGTTAGTATTTAATATACTATGGTCATTGTCAAACTTTTACTTTATATCTTGTCTTAATTAGATATGATTTAATAATATTTAAAACCATTTTATAATTCTAAAATAATTATTTTTAACTTATTTAAACAAAATTAATAACTATAAATAAATTGATAAACTGTTTGATTTTTACAGAAAGAAAAAAAACTTATTCACTATTATCATCATCATTTTGATTAATTTCGTTAAAATCTATAAAATAAATAAATCAATAAGTCATAATAAAATAAAGAACTAAGAATAAATATCTTACCTGATTCGTCTGATTGACAATCAAAACCTTCTGATACTAATATTAGGTTAATATAATGTGAATATTATTAATTATACTGGTTACCAATAAATAATAAATGTATTACTTACATAATGTTGATAGAGTATCTATTAAAAATAAATACTGTAATTAGTAACATAAATATATTTTCTGTTTAATATCAAAATAGATTAAATTAATTACCTGAATTTTCTGGAAATTAAATGTCTATTAGTATAGATTGCTTTGTGGATGTGTTTGAATGTTATTAGATTTTTTTTCACTTGTTCTGTTTAATTTGATCTTATTATCATATTCTTCATCATTACGGTATAACCCTACGATAAAAATAAAATACAGCACGAATGATGGGTGATCGGCATAATAACAACTAGATGGTTGGTAAGATGCAAAAGTAAAAAGGATCCATTAAAATTTAAGATATAAAATTAACGAAAATTTTAACTAAATAAAAAATAGAGATAAAATAAAATACGTTATAAATGAAATAATTTAACTGTGCACCACGTGATTATTAATATGATTCGTGATTGTTGTTTCGATCAAATTATTTAAAGAAATAAAAATACAGAAATTAATAAGTATAATATAAATATGTCTTAAATAATAATAATTACAAAATGAATTTATTATGAAAGGATATCAAGTAAAATTATATAACATTTTTTTCGTCAAGAGTAAAATCTTCCTTTAAAAAACTAAACTTTCTTTAAACACTAAATTAATAACCAATAAAGAAGTTAAAAATAAAAAACCTTTTTGAAGTTAGAATTACTGGATGTTATATAGAATACAAATTTATCGAAAAGGATATATTTTATAACACCAAAGACACAAAAATAAATTTTTATAATAAACTCACAGTGAAATCATTTGGCCGGGATCATCTATGATCGCTTGGAAATCATTTGAGCAAAAATACTAAAAAAATATTTGGATATGCAGCTTAACAAAAGTTAAAACACTTTTCTATCGCATTATTTCTTATATATCGCATTATTTTTTTATAAATGATACTAATTCGAAAATAACAATAAATGGTTTGTTTTCAATCCATCTATCCTTTTTGTTTATATTTAATACCCTTTATAATTTACCTGTTATAAGAACAAGTCGTACAATTTGATCATCCGAGTTGATATTTTTTTCTTAGATTAAAAGATGTCCTTAAAGTCTTGAACTTCTTAATTTATATACCAATTAACTGTTAAACCATTTTTAACGCTCTAAACTTTTCTATATTTATATTATGAATAATTTCTATTTATAGCTTTATCTTATTTAACATTTATCGTTTGCTAAAAGTTATAATAAAGTTTAAATGTTAAAACCTACATTTTAAAATTAAAATTAACTTTTGTATACAATATACAATACAAAATTGTCTTCATTATAGAATAATAATAAAATAGAGAATTTTAAATATTGTGAAGTTAAATTTTTATATCATTAAAAAAAAAGTAATATATAAATATTCGAGGCCAGGATTACATAATTCCATCTGCCATTATTAAAAAAAGGAAGGATCTACACGTTATCTTGGCTTTTTATGTTATTTCTCGTGTCCTATTACAACTTACATCTTAATCTGCTTCATGAGTTTATAAATATTAAAATAATTGTAATTAACTCACCTTTGTTACTTTGTGAGGCTATTGTTGTGATGTCTAAAGTGTAAAAAATTTTGTCAAATTTTGTTACATTAATTTACCAAGTATTTCATAAGAACAATAATTAAAATAATTTCAAGATTTTGAGATATTCATATTTAAGACTTACTATTCTACTATTACATAGAATAAAATTCGGATTAATTAGTAATTGTGATAAAATAATTATCAATAAAAATTGATTAATTTTTTTAAAAGTATGTTCATTTCATTTATTATTATTCTTTTGATACTCATTCGATAAATTATTAATTTATTTAAACCATTTGAATTAAAAAAATCTGGTGATTATTTAGAGAATTTTGGATATGGATTTGGTTATAATAGGTCTATTATTAAATCAACAATTTCTTTAATTAATTAATTATAAAAATATTATAAAAATATCAAATTTTTTTTTTGATTTTTATGAATTTGAAAATCAAACTATTTATCTAGCGTTCAATTTAATTAATTTAATTGAAAATCTTAATCATCTTTCTATCAACGTCGGTCAATTTTCCTACATGTTATATTAATTTTTTTTTTTTAAAAAAAAAATAATAATTTTGTAAATATATTTAATATATAAATATTTTATTTTTTTAAAAAAAATTGAAAGAAAAAAAAAAATTAAAAAAAAAATTGGGGAAAGAAAAATGATAAAAAAAGAAAAAAAGGGAAATTTCCGAAAAAAAAGGAATCTGAAAAAAAAATAAGTACAGAAAAAAATTCTGAAAAAAAAGGACACGGTCCAAAAAGAGACAAATAACAATACAGTCTAATAAAAAGATCGAAAAAAAATAAAAGACTGAAACAAATAGGATTATTTAATAAAAAAAAAAAAATATTTTCAGTTTGGGAAAAAAAATTAAACCTAAACGGGAAAAGAATGAAAAAAACAATTTGAAAAAAAAACTAAGCCAAAAGTATTAGTTGATTGGGAATGACTGGAATGTACATAGATAAATAGATCAGGTGGAGGCATGTCACGGGTTTATGGCATGGGATTTCAAGTTACACAATTCAAATTATTTATGCAGAGACTAATCCAAACGTCAGACAAATTTTTTTAGACTGTGTATGAAATTTTCATACGCAGTCATACGCATGGTAATATCTGCCCAGACCGTCAAACTCATTTTTTGAATTTTTCATATGCAGTCATCCGCAGTTATATCACATAATTCTAGCAGTTTACTATGCGTGTATGACTGCGTATGGCTGCGTATCAGCGTATGAAAATTTCATACGCAGTCGAAAATCGAATTATGTGGTCCGTCATTTTCGCAATAGCTGTAAAAATGGAAAAAAACCAAAAAATTAACATAAAACCATTGATGATTGATAAAATCAGCTAGTTTGATTATTAAAAAAGTGTAAATTTTATAATTCAGAAAGTAATTTTTTTTTTCCTTAAATTCTTGTAAAGATGTTCATGCAGTATTACGGTAACCCAGTGTAGAGTTTATATCCGTTATCCGTTAAAAAACGGATATTCTGATTGAACGGATACAGAATTCTGGATATCCGGATAATTCGACGGATATCCCGTTTACAAATTTTATAATGCCGGCCGGCTATCGCCAAAAATGGGGGCCCGTTAAAGCGGGGTAGAATCACGTGATTTAAAATTATTATGATTTGATAAATTTTTTATAAACTAAAATTAAAGTGAACTTGAAAATCATTAAATAAGTGTATTTCGGCCTGCTCCGCAAGTTTACTTAGGGAGAAAAAGTGGATTTTGAACAATGTTTTTGACTTTACATATGAGCAAACGAATTTTGCTGATTATACCCAAAAAAGGATAGATCAATTTTAACGAAATTGTAAAAGTTGAATAAATCGAAAACGGTGTTCTAAACCTCATTTTGTGCTCTAAGTAAACTTGCAGAACAGATAAAAATGCACTTAGTATATGTTTATTTGGAAGGTTTTATATATAATAAAGAGTTTTATTTAAAAAAAAGAAAAATTTCGAAAGTCACGTGATTCTACCCTGCTTTAACGGTCCCCCAAAAATGGAAATGATCATCTTACCAAGGCGTAATCCTGGTCGGAATTATAAATTTGGCCTGAATTAGCCTACAAAAATAATTGGATATCAGGATAATTTAGGTATCCAGGTAATATCCAGATTATCTGGATTATATCCGGATTATATCCTGATAAATCAGCTGGACCGGATAAACGGATAACACTAACCCAGAGTTACGGCAGTATAATAAATGCAACGTTCAGTGTTAGCCAAATTAAGGATTATTTATATTTTGTGGAACAAACGGAAATCCAAAAATACTTGAACAGCAAATAAAGCTTTTAACAATTTAATTTTTTAAGATTTAAATTTTCGCTATTATGTCAACCATACGAAATGATTTAGTTTATGCTGCATATAAAAGGGCACATGCCTTGTTTAATCTTTATGATAATATTGATAAACGACATGAATTTAAACACAAACTATTCTTGTTGATAAATCACTTACAAAAGATGAAAAGTCAAAAATAATAAAATACCTAAATGAAGATTATGATTATAATAAAATTCTTTTTAATGAAGGGAAAAGAAGAACTTGTGAAATTTGTCAAAAAGAATGTTTAGCAACATTATATTGTGAATATTGTATTAGAAATTATTTAAAAGCAAAATTTTCAAATTGGACATCTGGAAATAATGATATTGATGATTTAATACAGAAATATCAAATGAAATCACTTCATCCAGAAAAGATAGTTGAATGGATTCCATTTAATAATTTACAAAATATTAAATATTTAACTAAAGGTGGTTGCTCCGAAATTTATACAGCAGATTGGATGATGGAGAATATCAAAAATGGAATCCTACAGAACAACAATTAATAAGATATGGATTTAAACAAGTTATACTTAAAAAGTTGGAAAATGTTGAAAATACTAATAGAAATTGGTTTGATGAGGTATAGTAATTGAAAAATATTCTCAAATCAAAGAATCTAATTATAATACTTAGACCATAACATTTTACTATGCCAATATATTTATTATTTATAATCAAGTGAGATTTGGCCTACAGAAGGTTTTAACTCAAGATCCATCAAATGGAAATTACATACTTGTAATGAGAAAATTAAATGCAAATTTAAGAGAATATTTACAACATAATCATAGTAAACTTACATGGGAAGAAAGAATTAAAATCGTTAATGAGGTAACAATAGCGCTTAGTAGGATTCACAGTGAAAATGCTATTCATAGAGATTTACATTCAGGAAATATTTTATATAATCAATATAAAAATTTTTGGCATATTAGTGATCTTGGATTTTGTGGACCTGCTGATAAACCACTAAAAAGTATATATGGAAATCTTCCTTACATAGCACCAGAAGTTATTGCTGGAAAAGGATATACTTTTGCATCTGATAATTATAGTATTGCAATGATAATGTGGGAAATTTCATCTAAACTACCACCTTTTGCTAATTATGAAAATGATTATAATCTTGCAATGGATATTGTTAATGGTATGAGACCAAAGATTGTATCAGGAACTCCTTTAAAATATAAAAAATTAATGGAACAATGTTGGGATGCTGATCCAACAAAAAGACCTGATATTTTTACAATTAGAGTTAAAATAAGAGCAATTAATAAGTTATGTTACCAAAATACTATACGAGATGTACCAAATGATAAGATTTAAAAAAACAATAAATTTAAATAAAAAGAGTAGTTTAGAAATAATGAGGATTTACTATGCAAGTAGCAGATTATCTATAAGTAAAACTTATCAATTTGAAAATCTACCTGAACCAAGAAATGCAACTGAAGGTATATTATAAATTTTCTTCTAAAATTTATTAAATTAAGTTTTTAATTACTATTTTTTTTTTTTTAAAAAAAAAAATAAATACATATATAATAGAAGAGTTAGAAGGTTAGTAATATTTGAATTTTTTTTTTCATTAAAAGTTTAATTTTATTCTAATATGATGATATTTTATTTTTAAAAAGCATACCATAGTAAGCCCTATAGTTTTAATATTCCTGAAGATAGTAACTAGTAAGTATTTTTTATTTATAATAGCATTATACAATTATATATAAAAATAAGATTTCCTTTTCCAGTTGATGATTTCAATCAATCAAATCAGAATAATGATAGTACATCAAAAATAAATAGTATTGTTAAAGGTAAATATTAATTATCAAATTTTACTTTTGAATATATCAGTTATTAATTATTATTTGATAATATAGGAAATAGTAAAATATAATTATCTAAAGTATTACAAAAATTGTCAAGAGATAGTAAGTTATTAATTTATAAATATGTTTTTTTTAATGTAACTAACTTTTAATTATATGTAATTTTAGATAAACAAGATAATTACGAAAAAAAAATTATAAAACAGCAAGTAAAGAAACAGGATGTTGGTGGTATGTAAACGTTTATAAGTCTAAAGCAATTTCAAATATCCTTACAATTTTTTTTTATTTCATAGATAATGATGATGATATTTTTAATAATCCAAATTTTCATTCTGAAAATCAAGACGAATTTGAAATTCCTGATGGCAATTTTATTTAATTGTTAAGAAATAATTTCAATAATTTAACATTAGAATAGTAGTTTTACTTATTTTAGACGGTTTTTAAATTATTCTATTATCAATTACAATTATTATTTCAATATTATTTGGAATTATTTAAACACTAAGACTATTCTCAGTTTGTAATTTAAATCATTCATTTTTTTTACATTTGTTATAAATTTATACTAACAATATTTTTATTATGCAATAATTAAATATATTTTTAAAATTTCATAAGATAAATAATATGTTAACTGACGCAAATCGACACCTGAAGCGCAACATTTATTTATCAATTTTAAAGTGTTAAGGATGCAACATATGTATATTACATTAGTTAATAAATCTGAATGAAATGAAATTATAAACATATTTACATAATTTTTTTTACAGAATTTCTTTATAATATACTAATTTTATATACTAAAAAAGTGAAATAAAAAATATTTGTTGAAGTGTAAGGGATTTCGCGATTAATCGTTTCTCAAATTTCGATTCTAAATTCGATTTTCGATTTGATTAATCGTTTCTAATCGATTGTTCATCATTAAATTTATGGCCAATAATCACAAATTTAACATATAAATCATTTAATTATTAGATTTATGATTTTGTATTTAAAATAAAACGTTTATTGCACGAATAAATCAGTGATCGGCGGTAACTCTGGCCAAGCTTATAATTCCGGCCAGAATTAACACTTTAATAACAAGATCTAATGTCACGTGATTTATAATTTCGTAATTTGGGCCGGCACTATAATTTCGATAATCGTGATTTAGAGACTCAGCAAATTTTAAAGAAAAGAACTCGGAAATATTTGGTAAAGCTCAAAATAAGATAAAATTATATCACCATTCTCGGATTAGTACTCCAAAATTAGCAAAATTAGCGTATAATTTTTATTTTATATAAATCTTTACCAAATATTTCCGAGTTCTTTGAAATTTGTTAACATTATGAAATCAGTTGTAATCGATTCTGATCGAATCGATTACAGTAATTTTCCGATTCCGATGCAAATAATTTAACTTCACATAATAAATATTTAAAAATCTTAATATCACATAAACGTTTTTCATATATCAGAAAAGATAAATTATGAAATGCAATTCTTTAAAAATATATCAATATTTCAATACAATTAATACAATTTTAATTTATTTAAATTAGAAAAAATCATTAGTCTTATTCCGTTTTATATTTGGTTTTAAAAATATTTTTATTTAATAAATTGAGTAAATATGAGATAACTGAACAAATAAGTTCATAAAAGTTAAAACATAAAAGATAAATATAAAAAGATAAATATTTAAGACCAAAACTTCATAATTGTCCTATTATTCAGTTTTGATCGATATATTTTATAATTTCATCAAAAAAAAAAAAATCAAAATTATTGAAAAAAAAAAAAAAATTTTTAAAAACTATGATGGCGGGTGGGGAAAAAAAAATTCAAAAAATATAAATATTTTAATTTATAGTAACAAAACCACCAGATAGAAATTACTACTTTGGCTCGAAATTATTCAATTGCTTTCAGATTTGTAATCCTAATTTAAAAAATGAATAAATAAAAATAAATATATTAGACACGAGTAAAAAAAAAAAATACATAATAGAAAATACTATTTACCATCTTTACAATCTCCGCCAATGTTTAATTGAGTAATATCAATTTGAAGGGATTCTATTTTATAAGTTAAAAAAAAAATTAGCGCGTCATAAAAAAAAAATCAATTGAATTTTTTTTTTTTACTAATATATACCTATAGATCCCGTACTGATCATATTACCATTTTCCTCATAATAATCATCAGAATTTTCTGTTTCAGGAAAATTATTATTATTATTGAATTTTAATTGAGAAATATCAATTTTTTTTAAGGATTCTATTTAGCGAATTAAGATTTATTAGTATTTACTTATTATTTTGATTACATTTTTTTCATAAAATATTAAAATATACCTGAATGTTTCATGTTAATATCGTCATTTTTTTCGTAAATATCATTAGAATTTTTTAATTCAAATGGATCGTTAATATTTTTCAATTTGGAAATATCAATTTGTAATGATTCTATATAATGATTATAAAATTATTAGTATTTTTTTACAATTAGAACAATTAATTGAATTTCTTTTGTTAATAAATACCTAAAGTTTCCACGCTAACAATATTATCATTTTCTTTATAATAATCATCAGAATTTTTTGGTTCTGGAAGATTGTCAAAATCAAGCAATCTACTAGTATAAATAGCTTCTGAATGTGTTTCATATGATGATGATAAACTGTTAGTTGATAATTTATTATTGATTACTTCTGCTTCTTCAATTTGTTCTCTTATATTTGTAAAACTAACGACGTAATATTTATTAGGATCTTGTGAATTAAATGATTCTTTAAACCATTGATTTGAATTCTTTTTAATTTCTTCTGCTGTTGGTCGTTTTAATGGGTCTGCATCCAAACATCTTTTAATTAAATGCACAATCAATTGAGGTACCTTAATATTAAACCTTGGTCTAAGTCCTTTACAAATTTTTATTGCCAAATCATTATCATGACTAACATCATGATATGGTGGTAATCCAGAAATTACTTCATACATAATTATACCAAAACTATAAATATCAGCAGCTTTAGTATAATTTTGACCTCGTAAAATTTCAGGTGCAATATAAGGTAAAACACCATATAATTTGTTTTTTCCATTCTCCGACAATTTATAATCTACGGGTTTACATAATCCTATATCACTTAAACAAGTAACACTTGCAAGCCTTAATATATTACCAATATGTAAATCACGATGAATTAATTCTTTTTCATGAATACATTCAATTCCATGCGCAATACTATTTAAATAATGAATCTTGTCACTCCAACTTAATTTGTTATAACTTGTATCTAAATAATTTCGTAAATTTCCATTTTCCGCATAATCTAAAACCATAATATAATTTTCTGTTTCTGGATCTTGAGTTATTCCATAAAATTTAATAACACGCTCATATAAATTTACTTTATGATGTAACGCAATCTATATATTTATAAAATAAAGATTAGTACCAAAAAATTAAATAACGATTAAGTAATTATTAAATAATTCACCTCATTCATAAATTCCAATGTAATATTTTTTGAATTATTTAGGATTTTAAGAGCTACTAACATATTTTGATCCTTTCTTTTCCAAAGTTGATAGTCATTATCCCATTTATCTATAAATCCATCAATCCACGTTGCTCTATACACGCTGCCAAACCCGCCTTTTGCAATATATTTAATATCACGAAATTTATTGTAAGGAATCCATTCTAATGCTTGCATTCCATTCTCATGAGCTAACAGCTGAGAATCTTGAATAAATTTATTAATATCATCATTACCGCTAGTCCAATTTTTAAAATTTCGCCGAAAATATATTGAATTACACAGAACATTGCATTTTTCACATATATCATCCAAAATCAACATATAATTCTTGGTTTCTTGATTTCGAGTTATTCCATAAATTTTATGAGACGTTGCGATCTACAATAAAATTAAATAGTAAACAAAAAAATTTTGAACGTTGTTTAGTTATTAAATGGTGCAATACAATGTGATGGTCAATTTACAAAGAAATAAAAAATAAATTTAAGATACCTCATTTATAAATTCTGATGTAACACTTGCTGGATCATTTAAAACTTTCAGAACCACAAACATATTTTGTTTATCTCTTCTCCAATTTTGATTATTATTATCCCAACAACTCACATTTCCATCAATCCAATTTGCTCTGTACACATTGTCAAGTTTGTCCTTTACAATATCATAAAATCTATAATCAGGGACCCATTCTAATGCTGTTGATGCATTATGATGAGCTGATAACTGAGATTCCTGAATTAATTCATCAATATCATTATTGCCACTAGTCCAATTTCTAAAATTTCGCTGAAATTGTATCGAATTACACACTTCTTCACATTTTTCACACATATCATTCAAAACTACCATATAATCCTTGGTTTCTGGATTTTGAGTTATTCCATAAACTTTATGAGGTGCTGAAATCTATAATATAATAAAATTAAATCCATTAGAAAAAAAATTTTTAGCTATTTTTAGGCTGATCAGCATATTAATGGCGTGATACAATGTATTACAATTTATGAAGAAATAAAAACAAATTTAAGATACCTCATTTATAAATTCTGATGTAATACTTGCTGGATCATTTAAAGTTTTCAGAATCACAAATATACTTTGTTTATCTCTTCCCCAATTTTGATTATTATCATCCCAATGACTCATTTTTCCATCAACCCAATTTGCTTTGTACACCTCGCTAAATTTGTACTTTTTAATACCATGTAATCCTCTATTAGGTATCCATTCTAATACTTTTGGTACTTCATAGTTAAAGTGTGTTGATAGCTGTGATTCTTGAATTAATTTATCGATATCATTATTACCGCTAGTCCAATTTACAAATTTTTGCTGAAAGCGTGTTGCATTACATTCAATATTACATTTTTTACACTTATTAGCATCAAAAACCACCATATAATTCTTGGTTTCTGGATCTTGAGTTATTCCATAAACTTTATAAGGTACCGAAATCTATATTACATAATAAATTAAAATATATTAGTTAATCAAAATTTGAATTATTTTATTACATAACAAATTTATTATACCTTATACATAAATTCTAATGTAATATCAGCTGGATTATCTATAATCTTCAAACCTATTGACATATTTTTTTCATTTCTTTTCCAATCTTTGCTTACGTCATCCCAATGAACTATATATCCATCAATCCATTTTGCATTATATACTTTAACGTTTGTGATATATTTAACATCACATAATCTATCGTAAGGTATCCATTCTAATGCACGGGATTCATAATAACTATGATCTGAAAGCTGATTATTTTGAATTAATTTATCAATATGATCATTTCCGCTAGTCCAACTTTTAAAATTTTGTTTAAACTGTCTTGCATTACATTCATAATTACAATCACATGACTTAATCAATTTTTTAATGCTTTTGGTAAAAGAATCCATTGTCGAATTTTTTTTTTTTCAAAAACTAAAATTAATACATGTAAAAAGTAAAAATCAAAAAGTTAGAAAATTTTGCGGTATTAAGGGGGAAAATTTTTTTCAGCCCGATCAACACTTATGCATAATTATGTATTGTTTGATCAACCATTGGAGATCGTAAATGTGGGCTGAGAACTCAACCGGTTATCTGCAGATCATTCTCAATTTTATTTCACGTGAATTTTTCTTGATAGAAAATTTCGCAGGACATTATCCGATAACCTAACGCTGGCCATTTGATCACGTGTTCGTGAATAACTCTCGTGTAGTAACCGAAAATTATGCCGATTGTTAAGAAATTTAGGAAAACTTTAAGCAAAAATATAATGTGTTCATTCGGAAATAGTAAAATGACGAAGCATATTTTAGGTTATTCATCATATATTAAAGTTTTTTTTAAAAAAAAGTTATTCAACTTGCTTTATTAAAATTTGAGGTCACTTACGCAATTAATAATACATGATAAAAAGACCATTCCCAGATGTGAAGAATAACAGGTTTAATAAAAAAGTTAATCTAATACTATATTTAAGTAAATATTAGTCAATGATCATTTACAGTATAATAATAATCAAGTTGGTAAAATAAACAGTAAATTAATTTTTTAAAAAAAGAAATTATATAATATTCATTGAATTGTATTTTAATTTTCCATCAGGATATAAGAAAATACGTTCTTTTATCATCGTTAAACCCATTTTTTGTGTTAAAGTAAAATACGTGGCACAGCTGCACAGCAAATGTTTTTAACGAATCAACACTGGTTCACACTCTTTTTATTTACATCAATAATAACGGTTATTTAATAATTGATATAAATAAAGAAATTAAGAAAATATAATCGATTGTATTGTTGTAACTTAAAAAAATAAAATTATTCAATGGATATAAGAAATTGTAATAATAATAATCCCTTCAAAACAAACTAATGCATATTATCTTATTTGATTCTTTCCGTCTTCCAGTAATAAAGTTTTGATTACCTGATTTGGTATTTTAAATAATGTTGACAAGGTCTTAGTTATTGTCGCTAATTTTACACAATAGAATGTTTTAAGTTGAACGGTCACTAACATTGTACCCATAAATTCCGCAAGTTCCCTGAATTTTAGAAATAGATCAACCGATTCAGAAATAGATCGAAAGTTCTAATTAAATATTCATGCAATATACTAAATATCAATACGGAGTAAGTAATAAATCTCGTAATTTCTTATTTTATTATTTCTCTTAATTTAGAGTGATAAAAATAACGATACAAATGTGCTATATATATATAACGTAAAAAAATTGATTCTTTCGTTGTATTTTACTTTTCAGAAAAATTTGAATCTTTTACTTGTTCACACCAGAAGAATTGCTCATAAAATTTTTCAATTGCAATATTTTTTTTTTTTAATCAAAAAAAAAAAGCAAATCTACACAATTGATTATTTAAAACACAAATTTTGGGTAACGGAAATTATGAAAATCATTCAGATTTAATATTTGCCAATATGTTGGTTACTATTTAAATTTCATATCAAAACTCAATAACGTGAAATTACTATAATTACTATGGAGATTACGAAATGATTCAGTGGTGATTTACTGGTCATCCCTTTGGTCATTATGTCGATCATGTAGGGAGGTGACAAAAAAAATTCATTATAGTCTTTTTTAAGGCATTATTACGTGTTTTTTTCTAGTGTTTGTCATCACTTTACATGATCTACATCACTTTCAACCATTTTTGATACCGGTAATAATAAATTTTCACAGGTCATCCAAGTTTCATACATATTTTAAAAGAATAAAGATCCCTTTATACATACAACCCACCTTTGCCATAAAATTTATTCAACACTTTTCTCTTTTCTCATCATGAAATACAACTTAATCATGTTCACCACCTTTAGCAGTCTAACGGTTTGCCTTGTAATGTCTATTGAAGGTAACTTTAAAAAAAATATACTTTGGCGTAAAATTAATTATATTCTAACAATTCTATACGTATTATTCAAGCCATACAATTTGGGTCATAACAAACTGTGGTCAGGTACAAATGCCGTAGTTGAACTCTACACAAAAGGTAAAGAGGGATATCAAGAGAGGTGTATGGTCTCACAAAGGTTTTCATATTGATGTATTCGATAACATAACAGTTTGCATCCTAGCATTTTCTGTCAATGTTTCAACTCAAGGAGACAAACTTCGTGGACCATCATGGAAATTCTCTGGTAGTATAGATAATTGGAAGATAGAACAGCTATACTAGTAATATCTTCTTTACTAATTTTGCTCTCTATGTAATATTTTCATATTATCATAATTATGTAAACAAGTAATTTAATTTTACCAAGACGTATCATTTCACCCGTGGCTATTCATGAGATACATTTTTATTTTATTGTTAATATTATATCATAATTATCAATATTGTCTTTTTTTGTATTTTTTATTAATTGGCCGAAATTGTCAAAATTGGCTAGTCCAATTTGGGACGTAGAATTATGAAATAAAACTAGTCGAATTTTCCACAAAAAAAAAGTCTCCGAATGGCTGCTCAGAAATAAAATTTATAATAAATTTGGTATTAATTCCAGTTTTTTTTTATTAAAATTCTGATTTTCATCAACCTATATTATATTTGCGCAGTCTCTGTCACTAATAAATTGAAGGCATGTGATTGGTCACGGGGAAGGTGTGGAGATCGCGTCGCATCCCCCTGTGTTCACTATATTTTTCATGTATATTTGCGCAGTCTCTGTTATTTGCGCAGTCACTAACAAAATTTATGGAAAGACACAGTGGTTCGAATCCGGGGGATGATTTTTTTTTTTACATTTTTTTTTATGAGGTCACGAGACACGGGTTCGAATCCAGGGATTTTTTTTACTTGACATATTTCGCAAAATCACGGGTTCGGCTCTTTAAGCCA